GGAAGGAAGGAAGGAAGGAAGGAAGGAAGGAAGGAAGGAAGGAAGGACAGAGATTGTCAGAATGCGCAAAAAGGCTGTGAACAAAATACTTAAAAACAGCAGCAAAGTTGAAATAAAAGAATCAGTATTTCTTTTTATTATATACATAGGGTAGGGTTGACAGGCAGCTATAATGAGTTCTGAGAGGCAGTTGTTCTCAGTGCTTAGCTTTTCTTGGATTGTGTCCAATGTTGCTGTTTGGGACTATGTTTGATGTTTGCTGATGGAATAAGCCCTTGTTACTACACCATACAATTGTGAGTACTGTGGTTTGTCAGTGCCAGTCATCTAGTGCCCAGTGAGGCTGACACATACTATTTTCAACACATGAATTTTTTTTACGCATTAAATTACATTTTTAACACTATTTGGACTGGCTTGTAGGTATTTACAGGATCACCTGGTGAATGTAAAGCTGACCTGAATGATTTGCTTCTCTTGACTGGGGATGCTGAGCGTGAGGTGCAATCAGGATTGTGGCAGAGTACAAGTGTAGTTCTAACAGCTGCTAATGATATAATTGGGTTCATGCTGTGCAGCACTAGAGATTGCACATGAGTTTGTATATTTATATAATTTAATCATTTTCATTCATAAATTACCCACAAGCTGTGGATGCCTTTTGTTTGCCTGCCTATTTGTGAAGGGTTAAATCTCCCTGAATGACTGTTTCATATTTGATGCATCAGTGATGATGGTGTAATATTCACTTACAAATAACCCCCCCCCCCCAAAAAAAAATGTAAGCAAATTAAAAATTTGCCATAACTGACACCTCCATAAACTAAATGGAGTCATCAAAAAGCAACTGACATGCAGATTTTGTCATTCTTGAAGACTAATGATAAAATCAGTCTAAACTAAGAAGCAACCATGAAATCTGCTTTTTAAGAACTTGGGTGTTGTCTCTGCTCTGCTCACTAATTCATAAAAAAGATGGAGAGGGAGCGGTTTGCTTTGTATTTTTTTTAACTTTGGTCTCTCGGCGCATAACTATTTCTCTCTAAAATATGTTTCCATTGCTTCCACCCTCCATCTGTCTCCGTTAACAGCACTTCCCACCAAAAGTCTAGACCACATGCCATTGATCTCAGCAGGGGCGCATTGTTAAAACATCATCGTCCAGTATGCTTTCAAAATGAGGCAGCACAAAAGTCCCTTCCTCCTCCTGTGCCTTAATCCTCATCTTTGAAATGGTTCACTGTGTGTCCCTGGAAATGGCTCAACTCTTTTATGTGTTTTCCCCCTTTCTAAAAGAAAGCTCTTTTAAAAAAAAACCTTAGAATGTAAAATATGCACGAGATTCCTCTTGATTCCTTTTGGTGTACATAAATCTATTTCAGAAAGAGAAAACTTTTATGGATTAGTGAGTTTATCTTGAATTTGGGACTATGTATGGAATCATAAAAGGCTGAAAGGGGAAGGGAGAGGCTCCTTTACAAAATTAGTACTAAGGTGGTCATGGGACATTGAAACATTACCAACTACAAAAATCTAACTTTCCAGGCTGGTCACTCTCATTCAGTTTCAGCTCTTCAAATACCTTCTATTATTTTAGCTTACCTTTGTATTTTTCTAGACAAGTGGGCACATTTCCAAAATATTGGACAGTGGCCACCTACCACTCTTAATTTTTAAGAATGGAAGTGTGGCTCTATCAGGATTTCTATCCTGCTACACCATGCTTTGCATGCCGTCAGTCTGTACGTAATTTGGGGGTGGGGGGCGAATTGTGGGGTTGGATAAGGGGAGGTTAGTAAGAGAAATCAAAACTACTCATTGTGCCATGAGCCACCAGCAGGTCACACTATGGAATGTGGCACAGTTCAGCCTGTGAAGACAGGGACTATTACCAAAAATACACTGCTCAAAAAAAATAAAGGGAACACAAAAATAAGACATCCTAGATCTGAATGAATGAAATATTCTTATTAAATACTTTGTTCATTACATAGTTGAATGTGCTGACAACAAAATCACACAAAAATTATCAATGGAAATCAAATTTAGCAACCCATGGAGGTCTGGATTTGGAGTTACACTCAAAATTAAAGTGGAAAAA